TTTCTGGATCACCTAAATCAGTGTTTTTATTCAAAGTTCACTCAATTCCTCTTACTTATTTCGAGTTCTTGTTTCACCATGAAACAAAAGTACCGACATATTATAATCCAAATTGTAAGGTGCCTCTTATTCCAGGGTAAAACTTCTCCGGCAGATTTCATGATGACAATTTGCAACAGCGAGGCTTTTCTCTAAAACTCCATCTGATAATATTGTGCCAAAAACAAAAGCAAAAAAATGCATGCTACAAAAGAGAGAATCAGAAAACGAGACTCAATTGAAGCACACAAAAATTCACTTTATATTCTTCATTAATTCACAAGAATGTTACAGATCCATCGATCAGACTGGTCCTAGTAAGAAATTTCATTTTCCGGGAACAAAGTTGGTGGCATATGCCCAAGCATTGTTGTTAACAGGGTCTGCAAGGTGGTCAGCCAGATTTTCCAAAGGACCCTTGCCGGTGACAATAGCCTGGACAAAGAATCCGAACATGGAGAACATGGCCAATCTACCATTCTTGATCTCCTTTACCTTGAGCTCAGCAAAGGCTTCAGGGTCGTCAGCAAGGCCTAATGGGTCAAAGCTGCCACCGGGGTAGATTGGGTCGGTCACGTCACCGAGTGGTCCGCCGGCAATACGGTAACCCTCAACAGCTCCCATCAAGACAACTTGGCAAGCCCAGATAGCCAAGATGCTTTGGGCGTGGATCAAGTTTGGGTTGCCCAGGTAGTTGAGTCCACCCTCCTGGAAGATTTGGGATCCAGCCTTGAACCACACAGCCTCACCGAACTGGACTCCATTCCGAGACAAGAGCTCGGGGAAGACGCATCCAAGGGCTCCAAGCATGGCCCATCTGCAGTGGATCACCTCGAGCTCACGATTCTTGGCAAAGGTCTCGGGATCAGCTGACAGCCCAGCAGTGTCCCAACCGTAGTCACCAGGGAATTCGCCGGTGAGGTAGCTTGGGGGCTCACCGGAAAATGGGCCCAAGTACTTAACACGGTCTCGCCCGTACCACGGGCTGCCAGATGGGGCAGGCCTGGAAGTTCTCTTCATTGAGATCCTTCCATTTCCCATCAGCTCAGGGGCGGAGGGGTTGAGTTTCACCGCCTTTCCGGCAAAGGAGGGGGAGGAGAGAGCCATAGTTGAGGCAGCCATTGTGTGATTGAGATTAGCACCTGAATGGGACTATTGAAGGCAGTAGGAATTATACAATGTTGCTTGTGGCTTGAGTTTGATGGCCCATGCACAATGGAACGTATAAATATGAGAAGGGTCGGCCCAGGTCCTTATCTTTGAATATCATTATCTGCATTTTCATTGGTTGCTGACATTTTGAGGGCTTGATATTGAATGCCCATTTGGCAATGGCTTAAACCACGACCACTACATTTGGATCTTCATTTTCCATTTTCTTTCTCATTGAGTTTTTCTGTGTCATGTCCCAAAAATCTCACCCACTGCAGATGTTTAACCTTCTAACCAATCAAGGACTGCCAGTTGTACTCGGGGATAGTGGAATATCCAATCATGAATAGCTGCAAGAAAAAAACTTGTGAAAAAGAATGACTTGGCTAGTTGGCTCTTTGTCTTTTAACACACACAAACAGGAAAAAAAAAGAAAATAATAAGGGACAAATTCTTCAGTTTGACAGGTCATGTTTTCATTTGGACCACTTGTGTTGTGTGGTTGGCTGAGAATGTAAGTTTATGACCACTAAAATTCTATGACAATCTCAGGAATTGATCATCATCACTTGAATTATGTGTCTAATGGCTAAGGAGGACCTTTAAGTGGATTCCATGTTTATTATCATGCCTTTTGGAGAGATTGATTCACATGGAAATTAATCAGAAAAAAAGACAGATTGATAGAAATTAATTGCACATTAATTTATACCTGGTAATTCACTAAAAGCTACAAAACCTTTTTAATGCTATACAAGGAAATTTGAGTTAACACGCATACCCTCATTTCACATTTTTGCCTCTAATAATGATGTCAAAATTTAGTCTGGACATTTCATAAATCAATGTTTTCTTTTTGCAAAAGAAAAACCTAAATTTTTAATGCCTGTAATTTTCAGAAATTTATTTGACATTATTTCATCCATGCAATGTCAAAAGTACCTTACGACTACTGTATCATGGCATTGCGATTTTGTCTTAGAATACAAAGTATCAACTAATATGAAATTTGACAAGCACGAGAATTTCACGCCACATTGTGATAGAACCATAAAATGCCCAAAACTCCATTAAAAGAAAAAAAAAAGAAGGAAAAAGACAAGATCATTTGGTTGTATAGATATACATTTTTGTTTGCACTTTGTAGAAGGTAATATAGCCAAAGTATCTCAAATTCAGCTCTTGTCAATCTTTGAAGTGAATTCAAATATTGCACTATATCTGAAGTCTCATATGCTAGCCAATTGTTGAAGTAAAAGCAAAGTTGTTGGTTTTTGCCCCAAATGTACAGCATGAGATGATATAAGAGACAACTGGATCAGGGAGGTTTTCCTTCAAAAACCTTGAACTGAACTTGACAACCTGTGGAGTAGGGGTGAGCAAAATTATTCGCTAACCCTAAAATCCGCTATATTCAATCCGATCCTATCCGAAAATCCGCTATATTCAATCCGATTTTATCCGAAAATTAGGATATTTGATTTATATTATTTGATCAGGTCAAAAGAGGGTTGGGTACCGATGCGTTGCGGGTTAGGATCACATAATTAAAAATCCGTGGGTACCCAATCCGCTCCGCATATATATATTTTTTATTTTTTATTTTTTATTTTTATATACATACCATAAAATAATAATTTAGAGCTAAATAAATAATTTCAATGAACAAATTGCAATTCAAATATCAGAGACTATAGTTTATTTACAAGATTCATTTGTAGAGGTCGTGATCTTATGTTTTATAGAAAATAATTTAATTAATGTGGAACATATATTTAAAAAAATGTGCTACTTATTTCAACCTTTTATTGATTTTGAATTCTTTTAATTTTTTTCTTTATTTTATATTCTCTTTACATGCTTGTTTCTTGGTGGGAGACTTTTTTTTGAGAAAAAAATTTTATTAAATTTTAGATGAATGTGTAAAATATAAAATTAAATTAGTATAAATTATTTTTTAAAAAATTAAATAATAAGTGGGCCGGATACCTATTGATATGTGAGGGGGGTAAGAGTCAGAAAATAGCTGACGTGTAAGGTGCAGGTCGGATCAGCCAAATGGTGGACAGGGCAAATACCCGACCCGCGCCCATTCTTACAATGGAGTGTCGCATACCACATCAATTCAGCATTTTGCACATTGACAAAAAAAAATTTATGGTTCTCTTGCTATTTTTCCCCTCAAAATTCCTTTTTTTCCTAAAAGACACACTATCTGTATACCAATCATAAAAAGAAAGGGCAATAAGCGTTTTGTTTTCCCCCGGCCTATGTAATTTACTTATTCCATCAGCACAGAACTTGGAAAATCTCTTCAAATCAGAACTTTTGTTATGACCAAACAAAAATGCTTTAGCTTAACTTTTCTGCTATGTGATTGCAAAAAATCTCAGTCTGTACTTGAGCCATGCAACACATTTGTGGATGCACACATAGCCACATAATATCCAAGTTTTCAGTATTTTTACCTCCAAGTGTAAGGTTCGGAATCTGATAATCAATTATCAAAGCCAAAATGATGAAGGCATACCACATATAAGTTAAATTAGTTCAACCCCTACTGCCATCAGAAAAGCAATCTCCTACATTGCATGATGAAGGTGAAAAAATATCTGAAATCTGTAGGTCTCCATGCAATAGCTTGATGCAATCCTGAGTGGCAGACGTGTAACAAATCTAGTGGTTGACGTCTTCCAGAAAACTATATGAGTAGATGGATGCTTGAGTGCTACGTGGACAAGTGAAGTCATGGAGATACAAAACCAAGAATCTTGGAGGCCAATGAAAATCAAGATACTGATATGCTAAGATAAGGAGGACCGTTGCCTTAGTTCCTATAAATAACTACCAATAAGCCAACTTGTCCACCATCACCAAGAACAAAAAAACTTCACTGACTTTGAAAAGAATCAAGCGATCCTCCATTGCTCAGAATCATGGCTGCCTCAACTATGGCTCTCTCCTCCCCGTCCTTTGCCGGAAAGGCGGTGAAACTCAACCCCTCCGCCCCTGAGCTGATGGGAAATGGCAGGATCTCAATGAAGAGAACTTCCAGGCCTGCCCCATCTGGGAGCCCATGGTACGGCCCAGACCGTGTTAAGTACTTGGGCCCATTCTCCGGTGATCCCCCAAGCTACCTCACCGGCGAATTCCCTGGTGACTACGGTTGGGACACTGCTGGGCTGTCAGCTGATCCCGAGACCTTTGCCAAGAACCGTGAGCTCGAGGTGATCCACTGCAGATGGGCCATGCTTGGAGCCCTTGGATGCGTCTTCCCCGAGCTCTTGTCTCGCAACGGAGTCAAGTTCGGGGAAGCTGTGTGGTTCAAGGCTGGATCCCAAATCTTCCAAGAGGGTGGACTCAACTACTTGGGCAACCCAAGCTTGATCCACGCCCAAAGCATCTTGGCTATCTGGGCTTGCCAAGTTGTCTTGATGGGAGCCGTCGAGGGTTACCGTATCGCCGGCGGACCACTTGGTGACGTGACCGACCCAATCTACCCCGGTGGCAGCTTTGACCCATTAGGACTTGCTGACGACCCTGAAGCCTTTGCTGAGCTCAAGGTAAAGGAGATCAAGAATGGTAGATTGGCCATGTTCTCCATGTTCGGATTCTTCGTCCAGGCCATCGTCACAGGCAAGGGCCCTTTGGAAAATCTTGCTGACCACCTTGCAGACCCTGTTAACAACAATGCTTGGGCATATGCCACCAACTTTGTTCCCGGAAAATGAAATTTCTTACTAGGACCAATCTGATCGATGGATCTGTAACATTCTTGTGAATTAATGGAGAATGTAAAGTGAATTTTGGTGTGCTTCAATTGAGTCTCGTTTTCTGATTCTCTCTTTTGTAGCATGCATTTTTTTGCTTTTGTTTTTCGCGCAATATTATCAGATGTAGTTTTAGAGAAAAGCCTCGCTGTTGCAGATTGTCATCATGAAATCTGCCGGAGAAATTTTACTCTGGAATAAAAGGCACCTTACAATTTGGACTAAAATATGTCGGTACTTTTGTTTCATGGTGAAACAAGAACTCGAAATAAGTAAAGAGGAATTGAGTGAACTTTGAATAGATACACTGATTTAGGTGATCCAGAAAACAAAGATTTCCACTTCTCCACGTCACCAAATCTTTATGGCTCCCAAATTCTTCTCAGAAATAACAAGAAATTACTTCATTCCTTGCCTAGCCGGCTTACACTTCCTGATGCATGAGACGACAGCAATGAGACATGATTCAGAAAAGAAACATGCACAAGAAACCTTTCAATTGTGGGAGTAGAGAAAAGCTCTTTACAAGTATTTGATCTTCGGATTTCACTTGATGTGCCTCTGTAAATCAGTTATCTGTACATTCTCAAACTTTAAACCTAGCATTATATAGGTTTTACAAACTAAAAAAGTAATCCAAGTATATACTAACATGATGTAATTCATCTACAGAGCAAAGATTGTGTCAACAAAAGAATTTTAGAAAATGGAGATTCGATCTGGTCCCACTCATACTGCTGATGTGATCCAGAGGCAGGATGCCAATGTAGTTCTATCAGCTCCCATTGTAGGTAGGCATGTCAGGTATGCCTTCTGAGTAATACGTATGCTGGTCAAGCAAAAAATTACCAGTGCACAGCTAGTCTGGATATCAGTGGCAGCAGATGAAAAGAAAAGGGTTCATGCCAGTATTAAAGTTCAGGCACGATTTGCAGCCCTAGCTCTTGCCACAGACTTTTCATAAAGCTCCTCATATAGAGAAGCTGACGAGTCCCAGCTAAAGTCAATCCTCATAACCTTTTGAACAAGTTTTTGCCAAAATTCACTATTGTTCTTATAGTGGAAAAAGGCACGTTCCAAGGCATTGTTAAACGCCTGCAGATGACCCGAATTCAGCACAAGTTGAGAATACAAAGAAAACGCATCTCTATTCAGAAACAGAATTCATACTTAGAATAGCAACGCCAACAAAGAAAGTGCTAGAAAAATCTAGTATAATGAGGAAAGGTGACAAACATCTAGTATAGTATTAATCTGTTGAAGCTTTTTTAATGTAAATAAATATAAGTGTTGAAATGTGAGGTACTACGTCCTTCGGTACATAAAGTATCAAGAAGTAGCATTACATAAAGCAACAACCACGCAAAGGAAGCAGAAAACACCTTGGCGTTACACAGCAATGGCAAGTAGCATAATAATTCTGATCTTAAGTCTATAATATCTAAGAGAAACTTTACCAATAATAGATTGTTAAGACAAGCATACCATAAAACTTAAATGTGAGGAAAAGGAGTTTTATTGTCTTCGAAAAAAATCATCAAAGAAGGAGCCAGAAGAGAATAATCACACCGTCATGAATTTAAAAAATGTTGATCATCAGAATATTGAACCTAAATTTCAAGTATGTAACTCAAAAAGGCAGGTGGTGCTACTAAATCAAGGGAAATTAGTGCAATAAATCAAGTGTCTTTTCATAAATATCATGGTTTAAAAACAAAATTAGAACTAATTTTCTACCAGTAAATATCCAAATCAGACTTTCTTTGACATCATTTCACTTCGGTAGTTGTCATGTATTTTGATTGAACTTGATTCTCACAGCATTTCTTCTTTCTTATCTTGGTAACTGATAGATGTGTGCATCTTGAGAGAGAGAGAGAGAGAGAGAGAATGTGAAAAGGATTTGAAAAGGATTTTTTTAATGTATGATGTGTGCATCTTGAGAGAGAGAGAGAGTGTGTCCGCAAGTTGGAGGGAATCCGCAATTTTACAGAAGAAAGATTGAGCAAAATGTGTGTAACATGTTTGGGTACTTGTCAATCTTTGTCGTGTGTGTGTGTGTATATTTATGTGAGAGAGCGAGAGAGAGAGACTTCCAAGGCTTCATCAGTAACTAAACCAGAAGCATTTTAGGTTTAGCTTTTGCCTCAAGTGACTTTTATCTGCAGAGACTGAACCCTTTATCAAGTGGAGCTAGCTTTGAAAATAAAAATTCCATAACAAAAGAAGTGGAGCTAACTTAATCCATGTAATTGTGGATAAACCTTGTTATCCAACATGCGAAGCAGAGAAACACTCGAAGCTTTTGATTTAGTGCTTAAAGAGGGAAATGAATAGACAGTTTATACATCCATGAATTAGGAATGACCTGCTCATCAGCCGTCAAAAATGTGAATCCATTTCTGAACTCTTCAGGTATTGTGTCATCATCAACATCAAAAACACTGTAAGAGCAATCAAAAACACAAGGCAATTCTCCAAGTGTTATTTGACCAGTCAAATATTCACAGTTAAAATATCATGTAGTGATTACTCCCCACCTGTCATTTAGACCTCCAGTTTTCCTCACAATTGGGATGGATCCATATCTCATTGCAATCATCTGCACATTCTAACCCAGTATGAGAAGAGAAGAGTGTTTCTAATGCAGCTATTTTTGTCAGTGTTATTGAGACATCAATTTACCTGTGTAAGGCCACAAGGTTCAAAGATGGAGGGGATGACAACCATGTCAGACGCAGCATATATAAAACGAGCTAGAGACTCATCATACTTCAATAACAATCTTGCATTTTCATGACTCTGAAACTGGTTGGCTATGTCTTCAAATTCCCTCTGTATAAAAACGTTAGAGACAATAGTTCGAAAGCAAAGCATATGAAAACATAAACCTTCAACAGAGCTACTGAAGAAAGATAACCTAAACTCCGTTGCTTGTAATTTACTTCAGAAAATAAGATAAACATGAGGATATTCCAAAATGTAAAAAAACCTGAAGATCCATTAAATATCTATAATGAGGTAACCTAGGAATTGATTGAATAAATTAGGACATAACCTTGTGCACTAATTCTGGTGTTTGACAGTTATGAATATACACACACAGCCAAGAATGTGTGAGAGTTCCCAATGACACCACCTTCCAATTGAAAAGATTAACTAGGCATCTTATGAATCCAAAGATCCCTAAGGTCTTGTACTACGTATTGTGTTGAAGTACTACCAAAAATAAAATTGAACACTTCAACTCTAAGATAAACAATACTTACGTTGTTAGGTGAGCAATTATGAGCCAAGCAATTAAGACTTCCAAATTGTGCTAGCCACTTGAAGAGTAGAACTAAAACCAGTACAAGGAAAATATGAAGGAAAAAAGGTGGTAGATGCGGCCAAGCTCTAATATCATTTGGGCCAACAATTTGTGGAGTAAGTTTGGTCTGGAAGGAATATTCGAGCCCCAGATGGAGAGGAACAAGGAGATGTTCGAGGAACGTTAAAAGTAATTTCAAGGTTTTCGGGACTCTTTGGCAGTTTTGTGCTTAGAAAATCAAGGAGAAAGCGATTTGATGTGAGCTGCAATTAGGAAAAAAGAGGATGTTGTTCTAGTAACCACTTCTAGGATGAAATAGATACCATACATGGAATTAGAATTACGTCCAAGATTTCAAGACATGCATAATAACACTAGAAGCCCTTAATTGTTAATCAACAAGAGAAGAATATAAACATGGGAGTTCAAATACCCCAGGCCTACATCCAAAATTGTTACTTGAAATGAAACTTAAAAAATAACCAAGAAAAAACCTGACTTACAAAAAAGTTAAGATCTAGAATACAATGCATAGATCTTCAGCACTGTAAGCCACTGCTATTTACTGTGGTCTATTTGGAAGATAAGAAAGAAGAATAAGGTATGAAATAAAGCTGCTCTTCTTCATTGATTAAAGTTATCAGAGGGTCAGAAGCTAGTTCATTTTCCTTAGGGATGTCGATTCAGTGATTACATTGCAAAAATTGTGGAAATGCTTCAATGAAGAAGATTGAATGAATAGGTCAGTGAAGAGAACGCTACTGTACACTGTTAAATCATAGTTAACAGATTCACAAATCTCGGAAAATTTTATACAAAGAATTAGACTCTAAAGTGTACTTGCATGGTAGATCAAATGATATCCTTACCTCCAAGAAGAAAATCATCTAATATGGATGCATGATACCAAGTCAACATATTTTTAAGAGATTCAAGATTCATCATTGGTAGGTTGTGCATCAATTTTTGATAAGAGTAACTACATACACAATTTACAAGGATAGCCTAATGATTTCCAATAAATTGTAAGCTGGAAGAGAATCTACTAGCTGACATTCTACCAATGCAAGCTTTCACAAAAAACTAGATCAGATCTATGAACAAGCAAATGAGTTGCCAATTTTTGTTAGGAAAGCAGTCAACATAAAAGGTTTAGGAAATAACTGCATATAGTCTTTGTAGATTTTCAATCTGTTATTTTAGCTGGAGATCAACTTTAAGTCCCTCCTGCATTCATCTTATCTGTAGGATATCATTCCATTTGAAGCATTTTAACAAACCAGTAGTATCCATGACAAATATCTTAATGGTTCAAGGTGGATTTTAATACAATAAGAATAGATATGAATTATTTATAACATCTAATTTATCTTTTGTGTTAGTAAAACTAAAAGACAGAAAAATCCTAATCTGGAGACAAAGTAATCCCTCCATTCCATGTTATGTGTCAGAGTAACTATTTTCTACTCAGCCTATATCATTTGTGATTTGAAAAGTAAAAAAAATGTAAAGTAATTTTCTATTTTACCCCTCATATAAAATTTTCAATGAAAGATTCTAGGAGCAATAATTAACCGCTAAAATTAAAACTAAATGTTTAGTTAAAAGGAAAATATAAAACCTTGATTTGTCAACTGATGTGGCTTGGTCACAATTAACGTTTGCTTAAATCTATTCAAGGTTAATAAAGGCTCATAAATGAAACAGGAGTCATAATCTATTACCTGAATATGTGACACAGGGCTTGATCCAAGAAGGATAAATTGGCCTCCTAGTTCCAGCGTTCGATACAGTGCATGCCTAATAAGATGCACACCTTTTTGAGGAACCAACCTTGTGATGCATCCAACCTGCTCAACAACAGACAAGGAAGGTCTAGTAAGCAAATTAGCTTCATTTAGGAGCATGGACCCACATAAGATGCATTATGCTCATGGAAAAACCTTTATTCCATTGAACACGACAAAGTCATAACATCAATGCCATGCAGCAAACAACCGATTACCAGCACTGAGAGTAAAATGTTGCACTGCTATGGTAATCCAATAATATTGGAACTGCCATCTTCATAAGAGATTCAAACAGGTAATCTTCCTTGCAACCAAAAATTTTTCATCATAAAGTACAAGATTACTTTCCCGAAAATGTTGTGTGTAGTATTTTACTGTCCTCATGTTGTTCATCTTCTGTCCATTCATTTTTCTTTTTTCTTTTTTTTTTGGGTGCATGTGTGTATTTGTTTGTTTGGCAACTAGGGGTAGAAAGAACAGAAAACAAATTTCAGAAGTCAACACCAATTGAGATTCAGTGGCACAACTTACATCAAAGAATCCCTTACAGAGGATAACAATCAAATATACTCAAAAATAATTCCTTATGAATGTTGGCAAAGGAAAAAACCATGCTACATTTGCCCAAGAGCACATTGTACCATTACTCAATTGTTTAAAAGACTTTTTACCTAGTTTGATGCTGATCATTAAAATAACAATTAATATGTTAAGATGGTTGGACAATATCAAACGGACTGGACATGAAATAACCCAATAGATATTAGACAACACAGTGTTCGTCATAAAATCTAGGGGCTGGCAATAGGTATGCTGTGCAAGTGTAGAGTTGTTCAAAAACAACCCTATCCCGTCCACCACCCGACAAATTATTACGTTTTCTATCATGCTATGACCAATTTGATGATCATATTCATGGCCCATTCATGCTCATTGACAAAATTCCCTTTAGCTATGTTCATAATTTGCTACTTATGCAAATATGTACGCACAATTTAATGCAAAACTATCTTTTGCCACAGATGATGATTAATTTAGTAAGAAATCAATAAGTACACAAAACAAACTCTCGACTTTGACACAAAAAAAATAAATAATAAAATAAAATAAAAATTGAAAAAACAATAGATGGTACATAATACATCTCAATGCTGAAATGTATTTCTGGTATAAGCTCATACATACGTATACTCTTAATTTATGCCATGCTAACAATATCACACCCCCATCAAAAGTTATACTCTCATAATCGATGATGCATGATTTATGTAAAATATCATGTTCATCAACATGTGCTATTTTTACTGAAAGGAGAAAAAGCTTATAATAATTACCAAAGGCTGTCCAATATTAGCAGAAGAAAGACCTAGCTTTCTTCTTAAAGCTTCTTTATTTTCAGCTTTCCCTTGAGTATCAAAGGCACTGTACTGTACTTTGAGAAAAGTGTCACGAGTGGGGTTCCATGCATCAGTATCTATTCCATTGAGAATTCCCACAAATTTTTTAGCATGAGAGTTCAGTGTAGCATGAAGGCCTCGTCCTCCCTGAATGAAACACCCAAAAATATCACTAACAAAATGAGAAATAATAGGAAACACCATATATCCTGTTGTGCATGGTTATTAACTTTATATAGCTGATTTAATTAAGATGGACTCAAAATCCGTATGAACTTGAACTGTATGAATAAGATTGGTGTAAAATAAAAAACCTGAGTCCCAACAGAAAGCCATCCAGTTGAAGAAAAGTTCCTTTCTTGAATACATAAATGTTATTAGTCTCTTTATCCGAAAAAATGCCAGACCTAGGAAACTATTGGTGATTCCCATGAGGACAACATGACAAAAGCTTCTTAGTTAGTACTACAGGAGTGCCAGACAAGCAACTCAAATGCCTTTTCCTAAGCTTTCATTTTATCCCTAGCCAAAACCCATCACTGAACTTTATTTTGAAAGAGAGTTTCAATTGGACCCGTAGTGTACAAACTGTTGTAGAGGTAAGTTCCACTACAGAAGCCACTATGCTAACAAAACAACAAGAGCTTTTAAACAAGAATCACTCTAATTATAGCCACATGGAACCAAAAAGTGGATAAAAGATACTATATATAATCAGCTTTAAGTTGATTCTGAAGCTTCCACAGTTAAGATTAAAGCAAATGCATCTAACTGCACTAGAGGTTCTTCGCAGTCATTCTGGCTCCATAACCCCTTTTTTTACAAAATTTGTCCCTTCTATTCTTTTCTCGTCATCTCATGCTCTCCAAGACCCTCAGAATGATAAGTCATAGCTATTTTTGCCTGATATCTAACAGACATGCACTTACATATACAAAATTCTCCCCACAAGCAAATTCTAATCTTGCTCAAGTTTCCATCTCTGCAGCTGCTTTAAGTTACAAAATTACTAAACTACATGCAATAAAATCTTTGCAGTACACAAAGAATTTTCTACTAATAAAGCTTCAGATAATAAGCAGCTGATCCAAGGGTTGGAAGTAAAACTTCATTTTCTCACCATTGCATTGGAAAGCACTATCGTTTTGGACCAAAAGCTCTAAAGTCAATTCATCAATTCTCAGATGATCTGTACTAAAACCTCGGTAAACATGGAAATCATTAAAAAAGATAACCAGCACTAATCATGATATTTATAAACTAAAGCAATGGAGCTCAAACTTCATCTCAAAATCTTCAATGGAATATATCCTTCCAAATATGTTTATTTATGTAAAGCAGTCCAAAACCCAATGACTTAGGGTACTTCCACTTTATTGGGACCATGTTCTTTTGATGTGTTGCACTACTTCACCGGGTCACAAATGTCAACAACCATGAATGCCAAATTGAACAAATTCTGCTTGTCCCTTAAGGATGTCATATGCTGGTTGTACATTTCCCTTGTTTACACATAAACAGATTTACTAGTTGTTAATAGTATATAAAATCAATATTTGTTGATCCAGCATCCAAGCTAGTGCATTCAGCAAGCGGGTACCTCAAGTCTAGCACTCGGTCTTTCTCAATGCTCAACCATCTTCAACAGTATGAAGACCAAATATTCGTGGAAAGTACACCTCAATACTCGATGCACAAAAGATTTTGGGAAAGAAATAAGAACAAAATACCAAAAAGAAAGCACAGTGAAGACAACAACCTGTATCATAGGGCTGCCAATAAAATAATCACTAACAAGTGCTTAAAAGCAGACATGGTAAGATGTTGCACAGAAGCAAAACGCATGTTGAGTTTACAAAAATGTACAGATTAGATCTCTTACAATATCAGCAGTACCCATACCTCAGCAGTCCGCACCTCTTGGGCATAGGTCGGTGAAACAGTTGTTACAATGTTAGAGAACACAATTCCTCCCTGAGAAACAACACCTGAGCTTTTAATGTGATAAAAATACATGTACGTAAAGTCACTAGATGTACATGAGACTTAAACTGAAAGGAACTAGCACAAACAAGTAATAGACACAGCTGTCAATAATAGAAGAAAACAAAACCAGCTAGAGCCACATTACCTTAATGGGATTGACCCTGTCATGTGCGGAATTGTCTTGTATTCTATCTGGTCTATTTAAATGGTGAACATCAAGACCACATGATGCTAGTTCTGAAGCTGGCGCAGTCCCTTGATACTCAAAATTGTGGCATGTAAAACATAGCCGAGCTGAATTCAAACCTTTTGGTGCATAAATATCCCAATATAGCGGAGCCTTTGAATAGCATGAAAAACTTTTAGCTGAAATATAATATCAAGACAAAAAGAATTAACATTTGTATTATCAAACTAAAATCTCCCATACCACAAAAGCTGTCTGCCAATCATGGCAATGGATTATATCTGGTTTCTTGCCAGCTTGAATAAGTAACTCAAGTGCTGCCCTACTGAAGAATGAGAACCGCTTAAAATCATCATGTTCACCATAAAATTGTCCTCTCCAGAAGAAATTTCCTGGATGATGAGGCTCAATAAAATAGACAGGAAGACCTGAGATTTTGCAATCAAAGTGAACTGCTGTATTAACACAATAAAGCACTAAAACATTTCCTTAAGGAGTAAGTAAACATTCTTAACCTTCAACGGTGCCAGTCCAGATCTTGTTTTTGTGTAGCTGACCATCAAAGTATGACTCAACCACTGCATCTAAAGCCTGTAAAGCATAAGCCATATATTTGTAATGAAATTCACCATATTAAGAATTATCTTCCTGCAGAATCCTCCATAAGCAAGACCACAAAACAAGAATCAAGTCCAAGCAGTGAACTTACTCTTAAATCATGAATAAGCTCATACTGCATGCAATCATATTTAGGAAGAATAATCTCCACAAGATGCCCTCTCCTTTGTAAAGCTTTACCGAGCCCAGTCACCACATCACCAAGACCACCAACCTTCATATAGACAGGTATAGTTATATCACGTAAATTTCATCAAAATGAAAGTAATTCAGAAGATGGTGCAGCAGTATTGATAAAAACTCCCCCAGCAATATCAATTCCTCAAGGATAAATGCAAAAATGCATGAAATTTTGTATAAGATCCCTATGCAGAAAGTTCATATACTAAATGTTAAGTTCTCAATACAATAAGAGTCCTTACAAACTACATGTTCTTATCAAAACCACGGGCAGAGATTGTCAATCAGAAAACTAGATGTTCTTGAAGGAGGAATATGCAAAATTGTTACTTTCCCCCACCAACATCATCATCATCATCATCATAATAATAATAATAATAATAATAATAATATTAATTAATAAAATACAACGATTGTCAAGTGTCAGATGGCCAGAGATATTCTAATAGTCTGAAGAGTTATTTCTACCTAGTGGAGCATTTCATCAATAAAAAACTCATAGATATTAGCTCTCATATATCATATTACAAGCAGAAAAGAAGATGGTGCACAGAAGCAAAATGAATAATATATATGAAACATATGAAGACTTTTTACTTTATTATAGCAGTGAGAAACATAAAATTTGCCAATCTAGGAGGAGAAGAAATATTGGGCTCATTGTTATTCACATTAAAAAGGAAGTACTTTCTAATAATATGTAACGTCAGCGTAGGTTTCAAAAGGCCAACACTATCAGCCAACAACATTATCAGATTCAACAAAGATCAATCAACTTTTGGAAGACCCCTGCTCTGTGCCTTTGATGGGAAAATTTTAGCAATTTATTATTTCTCTATACAAGATGGGTTGAGGGAGAGAGAGAGGGGGGGGGTCTAGCCTCCAAGTAAGACATTCTTTCTGGCTTCTTAGGTGTCCTTGGCATCTTAATAGCTCATTCAAAGTTGAAACAAAGGCAATCATAGAGGCATACTTGTTTATTTTACCCCACCAAGCTGACACATTCAGTGGATTTTAAGTGAATAGTCTTTTCTTGAACAGGCAGACTGAAGTGCAAAGAAAGCGTACAACACACAATTAATGCTTGAAGAATATCAGTTTAAAGAAAATACCAGAGATAACCCTAAATACGGAGCTACTCCATCAAAACACCTTTGTTCATTACTAAAATTTAGGGTTTTCCCCTGAACAGCAAGCTGATCTATCATACACTGCAGTTCTAAAGGAAGGAAATTATGAAGTTTGAATTTCATATATAATCAAAATAGAACAAAAAGCCAAACGTCAGGATTTGGACATATGTAGGGTTACAAGAATTGTAACCTATTTGAACTTTAAACTATGCTAACAGAATTTGTCCTGCATTGTGATACAGTGCAAAAAAATGCAACAAGCGGATAATATTGATATTAGCATTCTCAGCCTAAGAAAATTTATGAATCTGAGGAAAGAAAGGGAAAGATATGGAATTTATAAGAAGGGGTGAAAGAATAAGAAGAGTGGAAAGAACAGTAGAAATTCTAGGAATCCCAACCACATTTTTTTATAGATTGACCAAACAAAACAGTTTGTCTGCTTCAATTCTTCAAGAAAGGTGATAAAACTTTTATTTATTTATTTATTTAGTTTTTATTATTGTTATTTTTGTTAATGGATGGGCATGACCCAATTTGCTCGGCTGCCTCTGAGAACATGAATTACCCCACAAGACGCGTGCAATGGCGCAGCTTACACTGTTTGTGTGCCCCAAATGTGACAAATTTTCATTAATTCAACTAAGCATACATCAATTTTTCCGTTACATTAGATCAATTCCTTCTGTAGAAAACAGCACATGGAGCCCAAGCATTCTTAGTTACTCATTATACTTTACACCTACTGGAACTCAACAGTTACATATGCTGAATGCAACTGATCTAGGAAACCAAGTTCAACTTGAACTCGTAAAAATTGCTACGTGTCTGCAGCTGTTAGGCCTAGGATTCGGCAATTCTAGTTGGACTTGACAACTTAAATTTAGAAAGCGCGTACTTAGAGCAGTAACAGTCAAGCATTTTTGAAATGACAAAAATACCATTCAAACCTAGCAAACCCAATAATAACACTATAACACTAGGATAACCTAAAGGGCATCAAAACTTACCCTATAAACAGCTAGAAAGTCAAGCAATCCATTGATATTTGGTAATCTTGAAAGCCCCTATCTACACATTTATCACATAAACTTTCTATTGTGCAGCTTTAAAGAAGCCAACAGACTTGACAAACCAATAACCACAAATAAAGATATGACCAAACATGACTTTAAGCATCATCCAAAAATCAGACCAGGGAAACCAGTAACACATAACAGAATGACACTATTTAAACACTTTAATTACAATGTCAGAGAAATGTAATGCAAGACAACAATCTACTTGAAAACCAATGAAGCTGTGGTCAAAGGTTTCTGACAAAAGCAGAAAAGGAACAGCCTAAGATCCTTCTTCAACATAAACCGATGAGATCAGAAGAAAATAAAACACTAACGAGTAGAAATAGATGCCTTTCATCAACCATCATCATCTAAAGAAATTCACCCCTTGTTTGATACGTAGGAATGGCCTGGAAAGAAAAGGCCTTTCCAACTTGTCCATTCCATTTCAGCGTTTAGTATGGCTTTCCCACTGAAATGTTCATTCCAACATTTTCCTAGAATCCTAAAAAATTTGGGAAAAGCCCTTTCCACCTTCATCCTAGAATGCCTAAATGGTAGGACGTCAAATTTATCCTTATAAATTTTTACACTAGACCATGATATCTTAGCCTCTTTGTAACATGTAAGGTCAATTCATTTTTGAATGTAATTTTTCATAATAATTAATTTTTCTTGTATTTAAAATAATTGTTTTTTCTTTTATACTAGGAAACAAATGTTTTAAAATACTTTATTCTTTGACTTTTGAACAACTGTGCAAGAATTTTTTGTGAATCTTATCAAAATTGAAATAGATTAAAATAAATTATAATTGTTTGGCTTCATTTAATTTGTATTTTATGTTGCTAATTATATTGCTACAAAATTATAACTTAAAAATCTATATATTAAAATAAATCAAGAATTACAATTGAAGAGTTTTGATATCAATCCTCATTTATTTTTTAAGTAAAAATATCAAAATTTCACATAAATAGACAAATACTATTATGGAACAAATAAAAGAAGTAATAAGGCATGTTACGTCCTATAAACTAATCCAGGGCAATTAAGTCAATTTTGCATTTACTATATTTCATTCTAACATCTAAATATTGATTATACCAAATATCGAAAACTGGGTAAACTTTCCATTTTGACTTGTCTAATGATAAAATTTTTCCCTTGCAATTCTGGGTGTAAATGTGTTCTAGGTGAAAAAACCTTTCCATTCTGAGCATTCCTGCGTATGAAACGAGGGGTTCAATGTGAGCATAACAATCGAAACAAGGAGGCGTAAGAACCACTTCAAACAAGTCATATTTGGGGAAAAAAAATTCAACTGAATAACTACCACACTCTAGAGCATCCAAAAAACTCCTAACACCTGCCATATTATTCCGGCATGAGATGTTTTCCTTAAGCAAGACCTAAAAGCTCATAGAAAATTCTCCATGTAGGCATAATTTCTTTTCAGCAACCTAGAAGTATCCTAAATACCATTCATTTATTTAAAAGAAAGATGTTGAGTAGATGTCAACAGAGAACCATGTAGACTAACTAAAAAGTCTCAGCATCAAAGGATCCTCCTGAGTGCTCCTATATCAACCCGTTGAGAATTGACCCAACTTACCCTTTGATAGCTCTGATTGAGATAACGTCACAACCCAAAAAAAAAAAAAAACACTCAACCACACAAAAAAGGCTGGCTAGAAAGTAAGAGGGAAAACATTAGTTTGATGGTGCTTTATGACTGGGGTTGTAAATCAAACCAAACAACTCGGTACTCAGCTTGAATTTGACTCAAACCAGGCTCGTTCAAACTTGTTTGTTTAGGTATCAATCCAAGCCCGAACATGATTTCAAACTCGAAAATATTAATGAACCAATCATGATCTTCATGTTGTCTGAGTCAATGTATTCAGGAACATATGAAACAAGTAAATTTCATAAAAATATACCTATAGTTTCCTTTCTTAACTCCGCTTTTTTCCTTTGTGTATATTGCTTATCTTCTAAATAGAAGCACATAATACTCGTCTCTTGAATAGACATAATTGATTTTAATCACATCCCTAATTCATCGTAACAGATTTCTTGAAAATCAGAAAGCAAAAATTAAGAGAAAAAAGCAATATTAGAGTGAAAATCTCCATATAATAAAACATGAAATTTCAAATCAAGCCAAGCTTTGATTGTATGTACTTGAACTCAATACTTTAACAAGCCAAGCCAAGCCAAGTTTTCCATGAACATACGTTTGAAATTTCAAGCCAAGCTCGATCAGTTTCTTTCAAAAAATTTTCAAACGCAAGTCAAGTTCAAACGTTCCTTTTAATTTTCAAACCAATGCTGAACATACCTCTGTCCGACTCGTTGAGACTTGTTTTCAACCCTATTTATGACCAGGAGAATGATTCTCACATTTAAGAAGGAAATTTTCTATCCACAGAATCAAAAGTTAGACTGTTTATAATTCTGAAAAGGAAATAAAAAGTTATACCTTTGCAACAGGTGCTATCTCAGCAGCAATGTGAATGACATGCAACTCTGAACTAAACATTGACAACCAGTGAATGTTAGAGACAAGCAAGCATGAACACTGTAGCATCACAAGAACACGAGCAAAATACACAAACTAGAATAAAAGATGCAAAAGGATTATACCTTTTAGGGGATGAAATTAGCCGTAGAAACATAGAGATTATTTCATGTTGTTTCTTTTCCTTGCATGACATGTATGCATTGCAAATATGTCCATCTCTCTTCCATACCATTTCTCTCAAGAGCCCGGCATCGTCGGTTGATATCTTCTTTTCAAGCAACCAAGCATCAATCATAAGCAATAACTGACTCCAGAATTCCCAAGGCATATCATTCACAGGTTCATCCTCTGCTCTTCTTTTGCTTTCTTCTTTTAGATTACTGAGTGTATCCTGAAATTCTTTTACAGAATCTTGATACAACTGAACATAACCATGAATCTCTTCGTCAGACTTTTGAAGCCGTTCATCAAGAATTCTTAGTTTTTGCTGCATTAGATCATTATAATGTTGTAATCTCTCTGATGATAGCTTGTAGACATTAGCCTCTTCAAGAGATTCTTCAAGCTTGTCAACCTTCTTTCGTAGTTCTTGGTTTTCTTGCAGGACAAAAATAGCTTGGTCTGCCTGTTTGGCTGCCTTATCAAGTAATGTTTGCAAGTGCTCTACCTTTTCATACAAATTTTTGCATTCAAACTTCAACATAGATAATTTTGAAACTTCTACCTGAGATGCAGCAAGTTTATTATCCAACCCTTTCAATGAAGACTCCAAAAACGATTTTTCTCTCTCTAACATCTGAACACGTTCATCTGTTCCCTTAATATCTCCAAGATCTGCTTTTAGTGCTTGAAGATCATTCTTTAGGGACAAGTTCTCAGTTCTCAGTACATCAAGCTCCTCACTAAGAGAAAAAGGCAGGGAGACATGCTTGTCATGCATACTGCCTTCATTATCACCCCTAGCAAGCAACTCATTTCGTAATTGTTCCAACTGATCTTCAAGGAGTTCCACATGCATCTTTTGTTGTGCAGCAACTCTGAGCTTCTCATCAGTTTCTGCAAGTTTCATCTCCAAAACATTCATCTTCCCCTGTAAAGCCTCTTTCTCACTAAGAATTTTTTCAAGATCTTCAAGAGCGGTAATCCGAGCATGGTTGAGTAGATGGATATCTATCTCAAAAGGAAACTGAATTAAACTTTTCCAGACATTACGTAAGCCAAAAACTGTGCAAGTATTGCTTTAAGGAAAGAAAAGTGCTTACTTTTTTCAGCATTTCTAATCATCCCAATTAAACCTGAAAGATGAACATTTGAAAGCTCATCCTCACCATTAGCCTCATCCTCACCATTAGCAGCAATTGACTGTTTTCGATAGAACATGAGTTCATTATATTCTTAATAAATTATCCATCCTCTCGTATGGAAGAATAAATACAAAAGCAAATCAATAACATTATAGACAAATATAATCTTAATCGAGAATCAACTGATTTAATAGAACAAAATTACTATCTGTGCACAATAAGAATTTTCTTAATAGAGGTCAAGAACAAGTCATCAGATGTATCATATCAAAGGTTCAGCACCCCAAGAATTGATTTTAAAAAAATGTGAATTTTTTGGTTTGAAAACTGAGCATCATAAGTAAGGCGCTACCACATCAGCTATATTAACAATAAATTGATGATAACATACTAATGTCAGCAAAAGAATACATACCACAGGTCTAATCTCATTGAGCAGAGTCAAGCTCATATTCTCATTTGACAGCTCAGCTTCTGATGCAAAATCCATACCATTGGCATCACCTTTCAAACGTGTGATGTTGTTGTTGGGAAGTATTTCAGTTTGCTCAGCATCAAGGTCATCTGCTGTATCTTTCAAGATTGTGATGCCATTTTTGGAGAACTTCTCTGTGTCAGAATCTTCACCACTGGTTGCCAGCAAATCATCACTGGTGGGATGATCAGTTTGCTCAGCTTTTACAGCAGCATCAAGGTCATCTGCTGTATCTTTCAAACGTGTGATTTTGTTATTGGGAAGTATTTCAGTTTGCTCAGCATCAAGGTCATCTGCTGTATCTTTCAAGATTGTGATGCCATTTTTGGAGAACTTCTCTGTGTCAGAATCTTCACCACTGGTTGCCAGCAAATCATCACTGGTGGGATGATCAGTTTGCTCAGCTTTTACAGCAGCATCAAGGTCATCTGCTGTATCTTTCAAACGTGTGATTTTGTTATTGGGAAGTATTTCAGTTTGCTCAGCATCAAGGTCATCTGCTGTATCTTTCAAGATTGTGATGCCATTTTTGGAGAACTTCTCTGTGTCAGAATCTTCACCACTGGTTGCCAGCAAATCATCACTGGTGGGATGATCAGTTTGCTCAGCTTTTACAGCAGCATCAAGGTCATCTGCTGTATCTTTTAAGCTTGTGATGCCATCATTGGAGAAGTTTTCCATATCAGAATCTTCGTCACTGGTTGCAGGGAAATTCACACCTGTGGGACGATCAGGATATAACTTCTTCGCTTGCTGTCTTTTATTTTGGGAACTGTACATATTTCAAGGCCTACTACTTAATGAAATCAGAAATACATGAAAACGGAATAGAAAAGAGAAGGCAATGTTAGCTTTGCAAATAGCAGAAGTGCATACGGATGAAAACTCAGATAATTGATGTCATAGAAAGAATAGAGAACTTTCAGGAATGATTTGAAAACCTCAACATTTATGTAAGAGTACCAAGGCATGTTGGTCTGCCCTCCTAGGTTTTAGAATCAAACAATAGCTTGAACATTTCAGTTCTGACAGTTAATCAGTCTTTCACAATAAATAGGCTGCAAACTGAGCCTAAAATTATATTGCATATGGCACCAGAGTCCCCTTGTCACGATCTACAGATCATTGCAAGTATTAGTAGTGACATTTTACCCAAGGTAAAAAAAAAATGGAGGAAACAAACACATTTCCAGGTCTGAGAGACAGGACAGGTTATATTATCCGGCTAGGACGTCACATAGATGTGAGGGACAATGGTGTAACATCCTAATCCTAAAATAGGACAAGTATTTGAGTTATGTTTACTACTTTATTGAAACCAGTATAAAGATGGGGGATAAGCAATTTAACATCACATCAAAAAGGCCCCAAAATCAATATCAATGAGCTCGAGTGATACCATAGAAAGCCATATGCCGACTTCTCAAGAAACTTGTGTGCTCCTATCCTATCCTATTTCTTCAATCACAAAAATAAATAGCATTACAGAGTCCAATTGTATCATATTACTTGACCAAATTAAATTCCAAAATTCACACTCCCAACAACACTGTCTAGTCTACATAGGCAACAGACCTACAATTTAATCATAAAAAAAACCTCTTATTCGTTCTCAAATTTTCTCTAGTTTCATCACCAATTGGCTGCTTTACACCTCTCAAGGCAATACAATAACGTAACCAAAGAAAATCAATAAAATCCCATAAAAACAGGACATAAAAAAAATGCCCCAGATTATCCAGAATCTAAGTTTCAATCTTGTTTCAACAAATTCAAGTTATCGATGCAAAAAATTGGCAACCCATGTGGGATTATTCAAGTAGAAATAAGAAATGAATACTGAGCACTGAAGAAGGTTCCAAAAAAATGAAACAACAATAAAGTCCAAGTACCTGTGATTCCGCTGGCGCATTTTGCAAGAAGCTGGGAGGAAACGATGAGAAACTGAAGGGCAGAACCGTACATTCCCTTGCTTACAGTAGTCGAGCCCTCCTCCTCCATAGCACCACCATCTTTGCCCTAGAAAGCTTGATGCCAACTTGGCTTCCATTGATTACTTCTTCCTTCAAATTTGGTGCAAAACTTCTTCACACAGTCATGGTGTGAAAATGGTGTTGTGGAAGTGTGCGTGTGCGTGAAAGTTGAGAGGGAGAGAACAAACGGTTACTTAGGACCAACGACTAGTGCTTAATGGTAAAAGTATATTATATCTTCTTCTTTCTTCCGGGAGATTTTAGGGGAGAGGAAAAATTGGCTACGTGATGGTGTACTGAAAGGAAAATTGATTTTGTACTGAATTGACACGTGGCAGATGATTAAGCATGTTTATCTTGAGTTGAGAGTGATGGGATGATTTGAGGGTTGAGAGGTGAATGGTTGAGGATGAAGGAAGAATAGTGATTATATTGATGCGTGAAGTTGGAAATTGGGATTTTTTTTTATCATTGCTGCTCGAATCTCAAAATGTGCCTTTCTTGAACTATTTATTTACTACAAGCAAGTCCTACCAAATCTATCATATGTATATTGATTACTTCAAGGAAGGAATCTAGTACTTAAGAGAAAATTGCTTAAAATATTTCTCATATTTTGTTAAATAAATTTTTTCCTCTTTTATTATTAAATATTAATTTTATGTCCATTATAAACTAAAATTAGTATTAACTTTACTCCCATTGCAAATTTCAATTAGTAAAATTTGATCTCAACTTAAATTTGTGACTATTTTTTAACTTGAAATCATTACGAAATTCACATGTGATCATATTTGTGTATAAAACGATTAGATCCCACTTTTTTTAGATGCAAAAATAGATATAGATTAAGTCAAATTTACATTTTTAGGAAAAAAATGAATATAGTTCGGATCAAATCATGCATTTTTAGAGATAAAAATAAATATAAATTGAATTATTTGTTTAATTATAAGCGGATCTATCTTTTTGCCTCTTAAAAAAAAATAAAATAAAAGGGGAAGTCTATTAATTGGGGTCGGTAAACAGTGAAAAATCACATCACCAAGCAGAGTCATAGTATGCCCGTGCGAGCCAACTTGTCAGAATCATGGCACGAAGGATAAGGAATCCGTTTAAGTGATTTAATAAACCACCGGACCAATCTCCTTTCCCAAACTATTATGTTTCATATTGTGATGTAAATTATGCAATCACGAGTATAAATTAATGCAATTCTAGCAATTGATTGGTCTTATTATGTTTCCCAAACTTTTTTTTCTTCATATATGCACTCATATCGAATTGTAACACCTTTGATAGTTCATTATATGGTTCAAAAAAAAAAGAAAAATAGTAGTACACCACCCAATTTGTTTACTCAATATTTATGTGCACATGGTCATAAAAAAATGTCAATCTTTATGTTTTGGCATATTTGTAAACTAATAATAATAGAATGGACTCATTTGAGTAATCATTAATTCTTATGTTGGAATAAATATCCTAATGTCACCGTAACTTATGCCTAAAATTTAGATCACCTTAATTAAATTGCAGCAATTGATTATCATTTTAATTTTCTATTGGTAGGAAATATTTTGCATAAAAAAAAACAGAAAAAAATTAGTACCCACCTAATTTGTTTACTCAATATTCATGTGCACATGGTCATAAAAAATGTCAATCTTTATATTTTGGCATATTTGTAAATTAATAATAATAGAATGGACTCATTTGAGTAATCATTAATTCTTATGTTGGAATAAATATCCTAATGTCACCGTAACTTATGCCTAAAATTTAGATCACCTTAATTAAATTGCAGCAATTGATTATCATTTTAGTTTTCTATTGGTAGGAAATATTTTGCAAATCATTTAGGCCATGCTTGGTTCCAGGAAAGCACTACGGAAAGAAAGAAAGGAAATCGAAAATGAATTCCTTGAAAACCTTAATTCATTCTCTTGTTTGGTTGTCAGTGGAAAGTGCTAGGGAAATGAAAAAGAAACCCAAAGAAAGTATTTTATTTTTTTTGGTTTCGATCATGGGTTTTTCCTCAGGGAAATGGAAACGGAAACGGAAACAAAAGTTACCAAAAAAAAAGTTACCAAAAATTACCTTTTTTTTTATGAAGAATAACCAACGATATGGGAAATTCAACTTGGTATATTCTATAAGTTGACTTCGTAAATATCTACAACTTGAGTCATAATTTAAAATTAAATAATTGAGCCACACCTTTAAAATTAAAATTGTGAGCCACAACTTAATTTAAAATTAAAATATCTACAATTTGAGCCATAACTTTAAAAATTAGTGTCCCTTAAATTGGTCGAGATGGTAAAATTGGTGTCATACCTTCCTACCAATCCGGATTCGAACCTCTCCTGGGACATCTGCCCATCGCACAGGGTTTGCCTAATACGTCTTATCCCTCCGTGTGGTTGACAGGGTTTGAACCTCTCTGGGGACATCTGCCCGTCGCACAGGGCTTGTCTAGTGCGTCTTACCCCTCCGTGTGGTTGCCGTGCTATTACACGGGGTGGAATTTACCTAATACGCACTCTTAGATAACGATTGTAGGTCTCCTTGTCAACAACAAAAAAAATTAAAATTAGCTTAACCACTCTCACACCCCAATTGCAAAAAACCAAAGGCAACAAAATAGAAAAGACAAATCGCAAATTACCTACTTTTAGAATTCAAGTGCTTCATGCTTCTTTTATCCTTTTTTATTATCACTAGGAGGCGTTAACTATGCATATGCGCAGTGTAGAATACAAAGGCTGGTATGCCCAGTTTTGGTGATTAACCTAACAAAAATGGAGAAAATGGGAAAAAATGAAACTGAAAATTATAAGAAAGGACGTTATAATCTATTATAATAAAAGACATAACTTCTATTAAAGGACATAACAGTTGTAGCAAAGTGCAAGTTTAAAAAAATAATAAATATAGTGCTAGTCATTAATGTTGAGATTGTTGATGTTGAGGTTGTGAATGTTGAGAGCTTCATCCATAGTATAGGAAGTGATTATTTCGTGAGTTGCATATCTGATAAGCCTAAATGTGGAAGGAAAAGGCTTGATGTAACATGTAATCATCCTTCCATGCAGAGCAGTTATGAGATGTTGAGTTAAATATATATTCTGGCAGAGACAGAGAAAGAAAGTAACATAAGTTGTTGAAAAACTAAAGGAAACAGTTGTTACATAAAAAGAAATGATTATTACCTCTGTATATAAATAGTAGAGCTCAGCGGTTGAAAATTGAGTTAGTCTCTCAACTTCAGATGACATAGCAGTTGCACACAAGGTTCCGGTTGAATCCATTATCGAAATTGAAATGCAAGCTCCTGAATTAGTAAGGAAATAGATATGGAATTAGTAAACACAATATGTTATTTATAAGTACCTAGGTTGGAGATTGACATTGGATTGACGGTAGGTGCAGATAATTTTTCGTTCTTCTATAGAATTGTTTGGATGATTACAATTTGGACAAGCTATATAGGTGAGTTTTTGAGGTTTACAGGCGAGTTCTATAACATCTCTAATCCATGCAGTTTTTGGTTTCTGTAAAATAAAAGCAATAAAAGAACAAGTTAGAAAAGAGTATTTAGTAAATATAAAGAGGTTTATTTGTGTAGTTAAGTTGCAGAGTTAGAGTTTTACTGAATGAAGTAGAGTGGCTATATCAAGGATCGATTGTCATGAACAGGAGCAAGAAGGATTCGTGGATTACTATAACTGTGTTCATGGACCATTTGTGCTAGTTGAATTGCATTGTTATGATACCTAAAAAAAAACAGAGAAGTCATGAATAGGAGGAAGAAGGATGATGTTACATAGAGTAATAAAAAAATTCCTTACCAATGATGTAGGTCTATTGCCTGTTGCACAATTGAACTTGTCAAAATAACAGATGAATCTTGAGTTGAAAGACTAAGATCTAGTTTTAAGGAGAAAAAAAAAAGATAATGTTATGTATGAAAAGAATGAAAGAGTCTGTCTTCTAATAAATATGTTTATGTGTTCTAGATAATAAGTAATAGTGTTTGTGTGACGCCCCCACTTCTCCCTAAGGCGAGCCAAAGGGTATCAGCGAGACGCCTGCCCAGCTCTCGCCAGGACTCACTACAATCCATCATTCAAGAGCTCGAAATACTATAAGTAACTTCAATACATAATTAAAATACTTCAAATATCTTACACTTACAACTATGTAGCTTTCAAGCTTAAATACAACCCAACGGAAAAGGGTACAATAGCCATCCGTTATAATATAACTTAAAATCTTCAAAAGAAAGCAATCTAGTACTACTCACGAGCACCCTTGGTCTGGAATCCTGTAAAAGAAAACCACAACGTGGGATGAGCTACACAGCTCAGTGAGCTTCCAAGACACTCTAACAGTTCAAATAAATCAAGTAGGTTGGGCATATCATATGCATGGTTCAAGGTTACACAATGGCATGTTATCATGAGGTGATAATCATTGTACGGGTAATTTGAGACATTTATCATGGTATGAGACATTTATCATGAGACAGTTATCATGGTTCAAGACATTGGCATGTATAGTTCACGAGTGATTGGAGCTTATTACAGGCATAGCTCAGGATTTCATGTTGGCATTTTAGCATGAAACAATTATCATGATACCAGGTAAACATATACTGTAGGATACGGTGTTCCAGTGGAACTTTGTCGATCATCTGCACCTTATGACTTTCGGATCCCCTCGGTTTGACTGGCCATCACCTTATCCCTCCAGTGGTAATACTCGAGTATACCAAAACGGTGTCCCAAGGTTCCAACCTACCCGACCGAGCCCAGTCCTGACTCGAGTAGGTCAGTAACCATGAGCAGGGCCCAGTTCAGCTTAGAGCTTACAACATGCACAAGTAATCAAGTAATTCGGCAAAAGGTAAAATTCATCATTTGGGTAGGTCGAGTGAGATAAAGTACACACTCGCCTAACAATGATGGACAGCTTCATATAACATGTGATTCATGATAATCAAGTAATCAAGTGGATACTTAGCACGTAAGCAGGTAAGCAATACAAGTTGATTTCATGGGAGCATGTAATTCACGGATATCGGATAGTCATGTAGATTGGAAATCATGTGAGCAAATAGTCAAGTAATCAGGTCGTAATGTGGGTTGGTAAACGGTTCACGATTAACGGTTAACGGTTGACGGGTGACGGGTGACGGTTGACGG